ACTGCAGTTAGTCTTAACTTACCATGGTTAAGGTTTAACACAGTTTAGAGTTCAGAGGTAGAGTGCTATTAACTGTGGTTCATTGAAATGGGAATCAAAAGCTTCCCATCTACTCATGGGAGGAGAGCAGGATGGACGATCCCCAGACATTGCTTATTGTTGCATTCATACCAGGCCTTTGTGTGAGGTAGGAAAGATCTGGTGATTGGAGTTACCAAGGGTGGAGCCTGATTAGAAGTATGTGGTTGTCTGTCTTTACATGTAGTCTTCTCACAAACACTGTGGTGGAAGGGCAAATCCATTTTGACTGTTTTGGGTGCTACACTATTCATTAATGAGTACAGAGGAGAATGTTAGACTTCCTAAGCATCTGATTCAATCAATCAGTCTTTTCCGAATGACAATCAGTGGGCATTCTGTTAGCAGGTATTTTTTGTTTTGAGTTTGGACTGCTTTGTGTCAGCACCAATACAAACCAATCATATTAGGCAATTAATATTAGGCAGATGCATTCACTGTATTGTTTTCATTGATTGCCATTTTATTTTATTATGCATATCCTTTAAAAACAGTTGATTTTACTTATATTTAGATTATTATTTTTTAGCTCAGCTTCTTTTTAGCATCTGATTTTATTGGTAGTTTAATGTCTATTTTATATTGCTTTAAGAAAACCGCTTAGAGGTTTTGATGATTAAAGTATAGACACAATTAAAATAAATATAGTAATGAGCTGGAAATTGAAGTCTAGCCGCTTCCAGAATGAAAGTGTTAGCTGCACATCTCAATACAAAATGTTTCTCAGCATGACTGATCCCAGTTCCTCCATTTGTGTTTGCAGGAGGACTTGAAGTTAACCTTCAGCCTAAGAGTCAGCCAACTGAGAAGCACAATGTCTCCTTGCAGTGTATGGCAGACAAGTTCACTTTTGAAAACCTGACTTGGTTTAAGCTGAGTCCTCGCGCTTCCATGGTGCGGCTTGGCAGGCTGCCTTTGCCAGTCTGCAAGAACCTGGACGCTCTTCAGAAGCTGAATGCCACAGTTGCGAGAGCCAATGGAGAGAACATCACCATGGAACTCATGCTCCGTAATGTTTCCCTCCAGGACAGCGGGGATTATGTGTGCATAGCCCAGGACAAAAAGACCAAAACACGGCACTGCCTTGTCAAACACCTCACTATTCAAGGTAAGCCATGGAAACTCTCTTGTGTCATGATTGTGACTAAACTCATAAAAACTCATTTTTATGAGTTTAGTCATAATGGCTCAATTCCAGATTAATCTATAGGTTTTGAAATCTGCATAAAAATGTCTGTTTAAACATTCAAATGTATTTCCTCCCCCTCAAAATAATTCATTTTAAAATGCATTTTGATAATAGTTGGGAAGTGCAAAAGTCCAATCTGCTATAGATGTTCATTTTGTAGCTCGTGCTCCAACAGCACCATGACTCACCAGCTGCTTCAGAATTGTAATTCAAAAGTTGCATTTTTAAATCCTGAATTTTTTATCCCCCACCACCGCAACAGAACCAGTGGCACCTGTAATCACCCGAAACCCTGAGAATCAAACAACAAATATTGGTGAAACTATAGAAGTATCTTGTGTAGCAAATGGAATTCCTTCTCCACTCATCACATGGTTTAAAAACAACGTAACCCTTGTTGAAGATTCAGGTGAGGCCGAGTGTTCTGTCCTGTGGCTAACCCTTGTTGCATAATGTGCTTTCTGTGCTCCTGATATTTGGTGGGACACACTATTACTTTTATCAGCCTTTATTTTTACCATACCTGTTGCTTTGATGAATGAGCATTGGCGTTGTGGCTTTAGGCTCTGCCCCCAATCTACACATATGCGCTGAACGCCTGGACAAGATCTCCATGCATACAGTTATGTGCACAGAGGGCTCTGTCTGTGTGCTCAGAGCCCAGCAGAGGAAGGGTTTCTGATTACGCCGACAGACCCTTCAGTGTGTACAGTATGGGACCCTGTACATGCATTCAACTAACCTGCTTAGATTGGTTTTGAAACATCTTGCTTCAATCTGTGCACATTCATTTCAATATTAGCCGCCATGGACCTATACTGTTTTGAGGATCAGGTGCATCATGCCTCTGCATCCCAGAATAACAGTGGGAGAGGACCATTGCCCTCCTATTCTGATTTTGGGTTTCCCATGGGCATTTGGTTGGCCATCATAAGAAACAGAGCTGGACTTGGTAGGTCCAGCAAGGCTTTTCTTTGGTTCTTAGAGAGCTTTATAAGGATATGGGGAATTCTGCAGGTAGATCAGGGCTGACACAATAGGGCTGTCTGAGGCAAAGGACAACATGCTCCTCACCCCATTTCAGCTGCCTGGACTGTCAGTGGGATAATGCAATGGCATAATGTCCTCCAGTGCACTTGAGGACAGCAGGCTACTTTAGGGGCTGAATGCCAGGCCTGTGGTGTACATAGAGGAATTCGGGAAAGCGGGGAGCTGTCACTGCTGGCCCCCAGCATCTGTCACCTGATGCAGTTGTCTCACTGTCTAATGGTAGGGCCAGCCTTGATAATCAAATTCCATCCAGCCATTGTAAAATTAACCAAAGGGAATATATATATAGAGAGAGCTCTTGCCTGTGCTGAAGACATGCCCTTTGATCTGAAAGCCCTTTCCTAATGCCAAATGTGTGGTTAGGTTTTCCTTGCTCACATTGTCAGAGGAACTCCCCTCTTTATCATTGGGGTGTTTGCCTAATCCTTATCACTGAAAGCAGGTTCTGGGGCTTAATCCTGGTGAGCTCTGGTTGAGATTAAACCAGGCTCATGGCTGGATGGAAGAGTCAAAGTGGGGGTTTGGAGTGTGCAAAATACAGAGCTTCTGTACAAGCCTCATGAAAGATAAGAAAACCCTTGCAAAATCCCGCATTTATCGGCGTCTTTGTCTGAAGAACAAAGACCAAGTCAAATTAACAAAGACAATGAAAGAAAGTTTGTATCTGTGTCTTCTTCTTTTTTAAATAAGGTATTGTTTTGAAAGATGGGAACAGAACTCTCACCATACGGAGGGTGAGGAAAGAAGATGAAGGTCTCTACACTTGCCATGCTTGTAATATCCTGGGCTGTTCAAAAGCAGCTGCATTTTTTGAAGTAGAAGGTTGGTATGAACCACGGGTCTCTGGGTTTTGCAAAGTGTTACTTTCTGCTCCATTTATATTTTATTCTCATAGAAGCATAAAATTTGACAGTACTTCAGAGATCACCTAGTCGATGCAGAAAATCAATTACTGCAGGGTCTCGATAGTCCTCTCCCTCCCGGTTTAAATGTTGCAAGCTCTTTCTTGCAGAACAACCATTGAGCCCACTTGAGACATAGTGTGGTTTTGTTGAAGTGGAATCAGGGACTGAAGTGAAACAAAGTTTGTAAGAACTGTAGACCAGTCAGGGAGACTAGAAAAACTGTGTGGTTAGCCAAGAAACAAGATTACAGTAGGTTACCTCGGGTTACATATGCTTCAGGTTACATATGCTTCAGGTTACAGACTCCGCTAACCCAGAAATATTACCTCGGGTTAAGAACTTTGCTTCAGGATGAGAACAGAAATCGTGTTCTGGTGGCGCGAGCAGCAGCAGGAGGCCCATTAGCTAAAGTGGTGCTTCAGGTTAAGAACAGTTTCAGGTTAAGAACGGACCTCCGGAACAAATTAGTACTTAACCCAAGTACCACTGTAAGCCAAAGTGTCAAAATCAAACAGAAAAGACTAGGAGTATGCTAGTAGACCACAACAAGATATCTGAGTGGCTCCTTTGGCTTCATTGAAGTAAATGCGGAACAGTCATTTGTGTAAGTGGTCCCCTAAAATAAATATTTCCACTGAACCACATTCACTCATCAAAGATCTCAACCTTCTCTTAAAATCTCTGATCAAATTTCTTGTTTTGCATATTAACAAGCCACCCCTAGACACATTTTTTTTTTAAAAAAAGAGTTGTCGGCTAGTGAAAGAAACCTTGCCCCAGTGTGATGACCTGCTGAGGGCTTTGTTTTTATTTTTATTTTAACCAAGCAATCCAAAGCTATATCCTGTTATTCTCACAGTCTGCAGCAGGATATTGAAGGGATGTGCCATGTGACATTTTTGTGTGTGTGTGGGATGGAAAGTGCCTGTAAATAGACCTCCATGTAAATACGTGCTTTCGGTTATCCAACAAACATGACTTGCTGGAGCGTAGCCTACTTTGGCTTGTAGAAATTGAAACGTGATTGTGAGAGAGTGATTCGAATGAGGGAATTTATCACCTGCCTCATCACAGGCTGTCGATTGATGTTAAAACAATAAAACCAATGCGCAGGCAACAGATTGCGTGAATGGAAGAGCTTGAAATATACCAGCCATGGGTTGAAGAGCTGAACTTCATGGTAGAAATGAGTTTCTTTTGATGTAATGATTGCAGAACCGATTTTTGCGTGCTTGATAAGCTTAATCAGTGTTTGCCAGGAAATAAAACTTCTGCCCCTGTAAGAAGCAGAACGTAAATAAGGACTGACTGCGGCCATCTTCTGAAGCTCCGTTTTGTTGTACATCTGGATGGCACCAGTTTTTTGAGTGTTTGCAGGCAGGAATCTTCTCAGCACCTACCTGAAAGATGGTGGGAATTTGGACCTACAGCACCTTCCCTGATCTATTAGCACCTTGTACTTATAACCAAAATCAAGTTTTAGGCACTTTGACATCCTAAGAAAATATTAAGATGGGTCTCACACTATATCAGATACTGAAACTCTTGGGCCTTCTAATCTTTACACCTGGTCAAGTTCCTTTGTAATCTGTATAGAGCCTCCCACATCTGTTTCCTATGCTGGTGAGGTCAGCCATCAACCTTCTGGGATCTTGATTCATTTACTTCCCAAGGAGCGCTGTCTTCCTCTAGCAATTGAGTCCTCATTTAACAAAATCTCATGTCCAGCTGGGATTACGGTACCTTTCCCATTTGCATCCAGTGATCGCTATTAGTAGGGATGGGAGATAAATTCACTTCCGTTTGCATTTAAAAAGCAAACTTAGCCAATTTGCACTTTCCAAAACACAGCATCCTTCAATATTTGCATGTTTCTGAATTTTGCCATGCAGTTCTCCACATGTATAAAGTTACATTTAAATGCATGTGTTGGTGAAATCAAATGCATTTTATTACAAGAGATTCCTTGCAGAAATGCGTGTATAATTGTAAAAAATGTATGTTAGGAGAATTCACACTGAATGTTCAGAAATTCATGGAGAATTCCCCCCCCCCCAAAAAAAGAGCAAGCAAATTGATACAGAAGTGTGGGAAAACTAAATTTTTAAGATAATAAAAATTGAGAAACTGAGAGACCTGAAATAAACAGATTTGTTCATCCCTCTTTATTAGTTACCCAACATTTCTTGATATAATACTACTTGTTGGCTTCTATCCATTCAGAGCAGTATAAATAAGTCTATTTTGGAAAATCTATCTGGCGACAAAAGGCACAATCCAACAAAATTAAAGCACTTTTAAAAATCCCAGGGCTTTCTGCGGGAACATATGAATTACACCTAAAAGTGCTTAACTTTGACTGGATCTGCTGAGTTCTTTACTCCTGCTGGGAGACCCAATATTACCACATACCAGTGTGCACACTTTGGTTTATTTCATAGAGTGAGGAGATGAATCAGAGAATGCCTTGACTGACCAGTATTATGGACTGTTCTTGGGTCAATTCACCTCAAGTTCCAGTGGAGGGATTTGTGCTGTGTACTGAAGTGTCCCATATACACTTTCCCTTTAACAACATTTTTGTCTTCGTTGACTTGCTACGTGTTGGACTCCTAACATTTTTGTTCTCAGACAAGGAACCTCTTTCAGTACTGTCAGCTGATGACCTGCCCCAATAAGCTCTGGGTACTATCAATGTAACTGTTCGATTGTCTCTTCCCAGGCACTGATGAGAAACGAACCTCGAGCTCATTATTCTGGTTGGAACGGCGGTAATTGCCATGTTCTTCTGGTTGCTCCTCGTAATCATTCTCCGGACCGTTAAGCGGGTAATGAAACCATTCTCCCACTGTCCCATCGGCATCATCTTGCATGGCAAATGAAAACTGATGGGGACTCTTTTGTGTTGTTCTTGCCATTGTCTTTAAATCAACAGCCGCATTTTTTCCTCTTGGTACCATCACATTCTTTCCTGGAATTTGAGGGGCACATAAATTGTGCTTTTTAATTGACCAGGCATTTGGTGGAGGGGAAAAGAAGAAGAAGACCTTTTCCAGAAATTAATAAAGCAAGTAATTAACAATGATTGTGGGCACATGCCTGCAATGTTTCTGGGGGCAAACTGCATACTTGCATTCCTTTGGACAAAAAACAAAAAAGTCCCAGACTTCCATAATGCAGTAAATGTGACCCACCGCTCATTGCCCAAGCAGTAGGATAATTGTATTTAATTTGCACTACTACTGCTTTTTATTTTTTCAGGCCAATGGAGGAGAACTAAAGACTGGCTACCTATCTATCATCATGGATCCTGATGAAGTCCCTATGGATGAACAATGTGAACGTCTTCCTTACGATGCCAACACATGGGGAAATTCCCAGAGATAGGCTAAAGCTAGTGGGTCTCCTTATGAATGAGCAAGCAAATGTCCCTTCAAACTTGAAATCAGAGACTGCTTTAATTACTGTAATTTTCACTCTATAGGACGCACTTTCCCCCCTCCAAAAATGAAGGGGAAATGTTTGTGCGTCCTACCCCCATCGTTCTACCCGGGACACTGAGGTCCAGCACTGAGGGCCTTCTGGCGGTTCCCTCACTGCGAGAAGCCAAGTTTACAGGGAACCAGGCAGAGGGCCTTCTCGGTAGTGGCGCCTTCCCTGTGGAACACCCTCCCACTAGATGTCAAAGAGAAACAACAACTACCAGACTTTTAGAAGACATCTGAAGGCAGCCCTGTTTCGGGAAGCTTTTAATGTTTGATGCATTATAGTATTTTAATATTCTTTTGGAAGCCGCCCAGAGTGGCTGGGGAAGCCCAGCCAGAATGACGGGGTATAATAAATTATTATTATTATTTATTAATTATTATTATTATATTATTATGTAAGCGAATGCAGGCTCCTTGGCTTCAGCGAAAGCAACGCAAAGCCTCCAAAGTGCAGAGGGAGTGCTTCCTCCGTGCTCCGGAGGCTACGCGTTGCTTTCGCTGAAGCCTGGAGAGGAAGAGGGGTCGGTGCGCTCCGACCCCTCTCGCTCTCCAGGCTTCAGGGATAGCTGCCTGAAGCCTTTGGAGCGCAGCAGGACCTCGCGCTGTGCTCCAAAGGCTTTGTGGTTAGCTGTGCCAAAGCCTCCGCAGGGCAGTGGGGTGAAGGCACCCCGCTGCCCCGCGGAGGCTTGAAAGGCTGTCCCCGAAGCCAGACAGAGAGATGGAGCACTGTGCAGCGTCTCGCTGTTCTAGCTTGGGATGCCAGGGCTTTATGGGGAAACCCCGGGCTTCCCCCTTCAGCCCCGACACTGATTGATTCAGAATTTTTTTACTTGTTTTCCTCCTCTAAAAACTATGGTGCGTCCTTTGCTCGGGCTGCATCCTATAGACGCTGGTTTTGGAAATGTGTGATAGAATTCATAGAATTGTATAGGAAGAGACCCTGAGGATCTAACCTGCAACATTGGCACCCACACTCTAACACATCTGAGCTATCCTCAATATCTAATATGGAGGTTCATTTGTATGCTCTGATTGGAGCTTGGAACTTCTTGGTTCACTATCCACTGGAGAGCACCATGTATGCCGCTGAAAGGTTCAGGTTTGCAAGAAATACCTAGAGTGGAGTTGGAATTTCCCAGGAGACTCCTTAGGCTTTAATTTCATAACTAGACCCTCAAGACTGGAGGTCTTGGGGAACACAAGATTTTGTTGTAATTTTAAAAAAGGAGTAATCATAAGTGTATGCAAAGTAACACTCCATTGTCACAGAGTGTCTACATCATAGTGGCACACTCTGGGCAATGAAACAGTGGCTTACAAATTAGAGGGCCTAGTTTCCCTGATTAAATTGTGCTGCCTACTGTTCCCCAGTTCAACAGCCTAGAGACAAAATCACTTGAGCCCAGTGGTGCCCAAACTTTTTTTTTTTAACATAGTCTAGGCAGACCACATAATGATTTTTCTGCCTTTTGTAACAGTTGCAATGCAATGCTGTTTGATTTTTTAAAAATTGCTTTTTTATGGCTGCTTTTATGTATTGGATTGTTTTGTATTATAATTTGAATTCCATGGATTTCAAGTTGTATGCATTAAATTCAAGAAATAAAGAAAAGCAATAAAAATACAATTAAAAATCAATAGCGAGTAGTGCTTCCCCCCCCCTCAGGGGGTACTCAAGGTACACAGTCTCTCTTTTTGGTTTAAAAAGTGTGAAATTTACCTGTCACAACTTCACAGTGAGTACCGGCACCTCCCTTTCTAGGAAACAAAGCACTGAATATGAGCATTTAATTTACTAGGTGTGTCATCTTCTCTCTATAACTGCAAAGCCCTAGACAGGTCAAGGGCCACCTCTAAATGAAGCTTGCAGACCATTGGTGGGCCACAGACCACAATTGGGAATCCCGTGGCTCTAGACTTCTTGTTTTGATGCTACAGTGGTGCCCCGCAAGACGAAATTAATTCGTTCCGCAATTTTTGTCGTCTAGCGAATTTTTCGTCTTGCGAAGCACGGTTTCCCATAGGAATGCATTGAAAATCAATTAATGCGTTCCTAGGGAAACCGCTTGCCAGGCTGGCGGTGCGGAGAAGGGCTTTTCTCCCCACCGCAAGCCTTCAGCACAGGTACGGGAACAGAGGGGAAGGCGCGCAGCGCTTTCCCTCTGTTCCCGGGGCTTGCGTGGGAGGAGGGTTTTTCCTCCCCACCGCCAACATTCAGAACAGCATTCTGAATGTTGGCGGTGGGAAGGAAAACCCCTTCTCCCACCCCAAGTCTTCAGGACAGCCATCCGAAGGCTGGCGCGGGGAGAAGGTCTCTCCGCCCCCCCCCCACGGCAGGCTTCGGTGCATCCTTCAGAGGCTGCTGCCATAGTCACGCGTCACTTCTCCAGCTGGGAGAGGGTGCGGGGCTATTGGTTTCTTTAGCCCCCGCGCGCGCTCTCCCGGCTGAGAGGTGACGGGCGCCTATGGAGGTTCCTGCCATATGCGCGCGTCACAACTCCAGCTGGGAGAGGGTTGTGGGGGGGCTGGTTAGCCCCGCGCGCGCCTCTCCTGGCTGGAGAGGTGACGGGCGCCTATGGAGGCTCCTGCCATAGGCGCGCGTTCACTTTCTCCAGCTGGAGAGGGGTCGCGGGGGCTGGTTTAGCCCCGCGCGCGCTCTCCCTGGCTGGAGAGGTGACGGGCGCCTATGGAGGTTCCTATGGAGCTGTTCCTGGAACAGCTTTCCGAAGTGGGGCGGCTGGGGCAGATGTCCCCGCCCCCCTCCCCGCTTCGGAACAGCTTTCCGAAGTGGGGCGGCTGGGGCAGGTGACCCCGCCCCCGCACCCACTTCGGAACAGCTGCAAAAGACGTCAGGGGGAAGCGGGGAAGCGAAGCGCTTCGCTTCCCGCTTTCCCCCGGACCTCTTCTGAAGCAGGGGGCTGGGGGGAGATCGCTATCTCCCCCCAGCCCCTTGCTTCAGAAGAGGTCCGGGGGAAGCGGGAAGCGAAGCGCTTCGCTTCCCCGCTTCCCCCGACGTCTTTTGCAGCAAGGGGCTGCAGGGAGATCGCTATCTCCCCCCAGCCCCTTGCTTCAGAAGAGGTCCGGGGGAAGCGGGGAAGCGAAGCGCTTCGCTTCCCCGCTTCCCCCGACGTCTTTTGCAGCAAGGGGCTGCAGGGAGATCGCTATCTCCCCCAGCCCCTTGCTTCAGAAGAGGTCCGGGGGAAGCGGGGAAGCGAAGCGCTTCGCTTCCCCGCTTCCCCCGACGTCTTTTGCAGCAAGGGGCTGCAGGGAGATCGCTATCTCCCCCCAGCCCCTTGCTTCAGAAGAGGTCCGGGGGAAGCGGGGAAGCGAAGCGCTTCGCTTCCCCGCTTCCCCCGACGTCTTTTGCAGCAAGGGGCTGCAGGGAGATCGCTATCTCCCCCAGCCCCTTGCTTCAAAAGAGAAGACCCGCTGTCCCCGGGGCAAGCTTCGTTTTGCGAAGCAAGCCCATAGGGGAATTCGTCTTGCGAGGCAAATCGCGGACGAAAAAACCTTTCGTCTAGCGAGTTTTTTGTCTTGCGAGGCGTTCGTCTTGCGGGGCACTACTGTATTTCCAGAAACGTTGGTCGACACTGAGGTGTATGTTTTGCTGTAACATCACATGTGAGGTGGCAGGATTCTGCTTTTACGTTTGCTCCCTTTATAGCTGTGGTACTCTCTGCCTTCATTGCAGCGCGATCCACCAGCCTTGTTTGCTAAATACGTAGCCAGCTCCCTTCAATTGCTTGGACAGTAGAAATATTTTGAAAGTTTATCTTTTTGTTTAATTTTGTCTCCAGGTAAGCCGCTTGGTCGGGGAGCCTTTGGCCAAGTGATTGAAGCAGATGCATTTGGAATCGATAAAATGACTACCTGCCGGACCGTTGCAGTCAAAATGCTTAAAGGTGAGGCTCGAGAACTAAAATTCACCTATGAAGGATGTTCTGGGCAATCAGCATTTGTTGATGACATTGTAAGACCTCAATTGGTTGTAGCTATTGGATATAGCTACAAGTTATAAACTTGCCAATCTTTTCTCACTTAGTTCAACCTAGGGGGTGAGAAACTTTCATAACAGTAATAGAATAGAGTACAGTGGTACCTCGGGTTAAGAACTTAATTTGTTCTGGAGGTCCGTTCTTAAACTGAAACTCTTCTTAACCTGAGGTACCACTTTAACTAATGGGGCCTCCCGCTGCCGCCACCACGCGGTTTCTGTTCTCATCCTGAAGCAAAGTTCTTAACCCGAGGTACTATTTCTCGGTTAGCAGAGTCTGTGACCTGAAGTGTCTGTAACCTGAAGCGTGTGTAACCTGGTACCACTGTATATTCATTTTTATTGTATTAATTGTTTCCATTAAGCAATGAGTTTCTTTTCCCAGTTCGTTAGATTGTTTTAGATATTTTGAACTTCACACATGCTTTCTGCCCACTGTTTATGCCAGGCTTCCTCAGCCTCGGCCCTCCAGATGTTTTTGGCCTACAACTCCCATGATCCCTAGCTAGCAGGACCAGTGGTCAGGGATGATGGGAATTGTAGTCTCAAAACATCTGGAGGGCCGAGGTAGAGGAAGCCTGGCTTATGCCTATTCTCTATTAAATTTTCATTAAGCACATTAAATGCACTATGCTTTCTTTGTTAAACTAAGATGAAATACCATCTTGCTCCCTCTTGTGGCTTCCTTCAAGCAAGGAGCCGACCCTCACAGTAGCTCTTTTTGAAGAGCATCTGCTTTGCATTCAGAAACAGTGGCACAGCATGAGGGAGGGGCAGGTCATGGGCCCGGGTGCAAATTTCTGAGGGGTACAACCAGGTGCCCTCATGACAGGGTCCCTCACCAAGACTGGAAATGCCCAGAGGCAAGCTGTGCCTGGGCTG